TTTAAAATAAAGAAAACAAGAATAGAGTTCTTTAAAAAGTAATAATTTTTATCAGTAAATACAATGTTTAAAATAAAGAAAACAAGAATAGAGTTCGGAAAAGGGCATTTTGACCCATTTAGTAACAATAGGGCATTTCTGGACCAAATTATCAACGGCAAGAGCATTTTTGGATCAAAGTATTGAGGGGAAGGGTATTTTTGAACGAAACTATACATGGAGGGCATTTTTATTCATTCACGTAATTTAAAGGCATTTTGACCCTTCTTCGAAATTTAAATTACAATATAGCTATAAAAAAAAAGTCTTAAAATTGTTCTAACTTTTTTCTTCCTTTTCCATATCTATTTATTTTCACACAAAAAAATGGAATAAAGTAACAGGAAGTGAAAAACTAACAAAAAAAATTGCTTTAAGTAATGAACAGAAATAAATATCTAAAGATTACTATTGCTATTTACTAGTTAAAACGGAAAGAGAGCAGTAATTAGTTATACTTATACTACTAGCGGTACAAAACAAACCTTAGAATCAAACATTGCTTTATTGAGATCATCTACTTTCACCTCATCATCATTGTTCACGCTTTCGAGACTTGGTGTACTCACAGATATTTCATGTTTGTGAAAATGCAAAGATGTTGTTCCTCTGTGGGTCGATCTGCTATAGGAAGATGAACTGTTGGAATACTTTCCCGAGCAAGCTGAATTCCTGAACAAGATGATCATCAGATGATGTTAGTTTCTGCTCAAACTTCAGGCATGGACTGCTGGAGACCGATTTCATGTCTCGACAGTCTGACTGCAATTTGTCAGTGTGTCATTCATCAAGTATTGCTGAATTTTGAACATTGGATGCCTAAATTATGATGTCCTTCTGCCTCAGCTATCACCATTCCTCTTTGTGAGAAGCTATGCTCAGAATTTCGAACTAGTCATGCAATTCGGTATGAATATGCTTGTAGATGCATGATATCATCTCGTGTCATGAAATAAACAAAACCAATTACATGTTGCAGCCTTAATCGATTTTTGAGCTTTATTACATAGCTGCATTGTGCATAAAAAAACATTAGAATTTAAGAATGGTGGAAACTAGAGTAAAAGGGTCAGCAAAACTGGACATCACATAGCTACTTGCAGATTACCTGACTAATAGTATATGGAGAATCATGGTGGTTAGTACTATCTACAGAATTAAAAGCCTTAAAATCCAATCAAAAGTTGTAGCACAGATAATACAAGTTGTTTCAGTACATCCTCAAAGCTGTCAAACTCATCAGGTGTGCTATCAAAGAGAGCTTGAAACTCGGGGATAAGGAACTGAACAATGGATTTCAAAGCATACGTCAGGAAGTCCGACAACTTAATGTGTCCAAAACGCTCGTCTCTTGGTACATAGATGTCTAAACTCATAAGTAGTGGAATCCTACTTTCACTTTTAGGATCTGTTCAAAATTAAAAATACGATATATGTCAGCCGAAGTTGCTTTCATCAAAATCAACATGCTAAATGATTCTGACGATAATAAATATAATATAACCTGCTTTTGTTGGCTTTCTACCTGTTCTTCCTCTCCGAGGGTATGGGTACTCTGATCCTCCGAGGATAGTCCTGGCATACTGTTTGCCTTTTTCTGGATCACCCAAATAATTGTATAACCCGTAGTCATAAACTCTGTCCCATTCCTCAAGCTTTCCATTTCCATCTCCTCTTAAGTTCACTAACTCTTTTTCTCTGTAATTGCGCAATGGTCCTGGTGTTTCACCGGGAAGATATGCCTGCATTAATAATCAAAGTTAATCTTTCTAAACAATTTATCTTTTAACTAAACATATGCTCAAGGAAATCATATATGTAACGCCGGGTACCTGATTAGCAAAGAAAATGTGTTCTGATTTATATCTTTTAGCAGGATAAACCCATGAATTGCAGACAAAATGAACGTTGCCGTCTAAAAAACAACTCATTTAAGGATATTCTAAAAACAATGGATCAGTCAAACAACCATTGACTAATAGAAGATGTTAAAGAAACTAAAAACATGACTTGTCATGTCAATTACAAGGCTTAATATAGCAGTATAAATAGCCATTGATTGCAAGTGCTCATTTGTCTTAAGCCTCTAGTATCTCATATTATGCTGACTCAAATTAATTGTTACTTTACATAAAAAGAATAGTGTAACAAGAACAAGCAGTTATTAAGGGATGACTATTGAAAATAGTCCAAGAAAAACAACAACTATTACTAGTATGTCTCTTTATCAAACAGTAACATTCAAACATTTTCTTAGTATTTCTTAGGTGTACTAAAAATGTGAGAACTCTGTGGATTAATATAAATTAACTTCGTTGCATTAAAACACCCTAGTGTAGTACACACAAAAAAATGCTGAAGTCATAGTTCACGAAAGGAACCAAAAAAAAGATCTACTTTCTCATTTCTACATAAATTAACTGTTTGACCAAGAAAAGGACAAAAAAAAATCTGAAATTTATGAATGAAATTCAATAGCTTCACTTTTATTCATAATTAGGGAAATATACCATCACATGAACGCAACAAAGATGAATTCAATCAATCCCATTATCATAACATATCTTACAATACCTAATAACTTAACAACATAGTAATCCGAAAGAAAATACAAAATCAAGCCACATAAGCCCCAAGAATCCTTTTTTCAAATTGAAACAATTATCTGAATGTATAACTTTTTCTTTTTAGAAATTGGGGGGAAATGTTAGATAAGTGGGGGAATGTTATTGTTTTGGTTAAAATTTATGAAAATTATAAGGGCACACTTATTAAATGTTGGTTTTAGAATAATAAAAATAGTACACTTTAAAAGCGTAGCTATATGTGTAATAAGGTGTTGTCGGTTGTATGATGATTTGGCAATGCTTATAAAATGTAGCCTATACTACTAAAGAACACACTTCATAAGTGTTGCTAAATTTTCGTGGCCAAAAGTTTTGTACAAAGGTGACGCTTAAAAAGTGTTCTCATAGATACTTTTAACAACACTTTTAAAGCGTTGCCTAGAATTGGTGTGGCCTTAGGCCAAAGTTGTTGTAGTGGTTGGTAATTACTTCCCTAGTGATTACACCCAATGGCGTACGTATGCAGGATTTTTCGTCAGTTGTCTCACCTTTAAAAATGAAAAAATAAATAAACAATGTAAATAAATAAATATATATATACACACAGAGAGTACTATACCTTTTTAAATAATTTAATAACTTTCGACGATTTTTTTTTTTAAGATGTATTCAAAATAATACCATGTGAGAAAGAAGGTAAATGAACAAAAGGAAAAATAAAACATAAAAATGAGGTCAGAAAGGTTTGAACACGCGACCTCACTTGCGAATTCCCAGCCAAAAACCAGTAGAACTACGCACAACTTTGATGAAAGGAGTGTACCATAATTTATAATGTATATCTTTTTATCTGTTACTTCCCTTTTCACACTATAAAAATTTCATAAAATTTTCCGAAGCAATGTCACGTGACACCCCATAACCATTGCTAAATCCGCCCTTGAATATTACACCAATTCCAATTACCATGTGACTTTTCAAAAAGACCCATAGGGTTGTTTGGTAGTTGAATAAGAAATAATTTATTAATTTAATAATCTCCATACATCGATCTTTCGAGATCTTTCAACTTCTCTAGAATAACAAGAAAAGGTTATTTCTTCTTCCACAACGGGTATTCTAACGAACTCAAGTTACATTTGCTGATCATAAAAATTAAACTTAAGTCATTTTAATAACAACGAGGGTAAAAATGAGATATTTTTATCATAAAGTAAATTTTGTTCAAATCATATAATTTGGGGGGCAAATTTGGTCAAACTTTATCCATATAAAATGATGAATAATTTTTAAAAAATAATTAGATTTTAAAAATTAGGTGTAAATATCCGTAATTAGCGACTAATAATAGGTTTAACCATTGGCGGACCCAAGATTTTCGTTTAGGAGGTTAAATAAAAGTATAAACGTGTAAATAAGCCTTTAGAAATGGGAACCTTGAATTCTTTTGGGTTTAAAACCACACTTTTAGCACGTTTTTTAAAGTAAAAAAAAAACTTGAAAAACAAACTGAAAATAAATAAAAAAACTACAAAAAACTGAAACAAAAAAAGAGAAAGATAAAATGCTTACACAAAGATTCGAACCATTGACATACAACTTAATTTCAGGGGGACTTGCCACTACCCCATCAGTTTCTCTTTGTTATTGAGGGGGTTCAAAATATATATATCTACAGAAATACAGAAAATTTACCTTATATATACCATGTAATCTTTTGCCGAGGGGGTTCACGAACCCACGTGGGTCCGCCCCTGAATTTAACAGTACTTTTCATCATATGTCATAAAAAATCAATGACATTTTTCAACATATGACATAATATATTCGATATTTGTATAAAAATGTCACTGTTTTAGCGACATTTTCACTATATATATGTCAATTGAATCAACGACATTTTGCAATAAATGTCATAATATATTCGACATTTGTATTAAATGTCGCTATTTTAGCAACAGTTTTGCTAAAAGTCGCTAAAATCAATGACATTTTACAACAAATGTCACTATTTTAGTGACATTTTTTCTAAATGTCACTAAAATCAATGACATTTTGCAGTAAATGTCATAATATATTCGACATTTATATTAAATGTCACTATTTAAGCAATATTTTTTCTAAATGTTACTAAAACCAATGGCATTTTGTAATAGATGTCATATTATATTCGATATTTGTAGCAAATGTCATCATTTAAATAACATTTTCGCTAAATGTCGCTAAAAACAATGACATTTTGCAATAAATGTCATTATCATAGTGACATTTTGGACCAGATGTCATTATTTTTACGATATTTGATACCAAATGTCATTTTTTCATGACATTTTGTTCTTAAAATATCGTGAAATTCTTTATTTTCCGACATTTATTTCAAATGTCACCAAATTAATGTCGTGGTATGTATATTTTCTTGTAGTGGTTGCTGAAGGATCATCGCTAGAAACAGTGAACTCGTCATCTAGCTATGGAATAAAGGAAGAGGAAGTGACCTCATATGAAGAAGATCGCGAAAAGGAAAAGAATTACAGAGGTGTTAGAAAGAGGCAATGGGGGAAATTTCCTACTAAAATTCGTGATTCTACGAGGAATGGTGTTCGTGTATGGCTAGGTACATTTGATAATGCTGAAGAAGCTGTGTTAGCGTATGATCAAGCTGCATTTGCTATGAGAGGTTCGATGGCTATACTTAATTTTCCTGTGGAGATAGTGAACGAGTCGTTAAGTGAAATTAAGTGTAGATTTTATGAGAATTGTTCTCCGGTGATTGATGAATTGAAGAAGAGATATTCAATGAGGAGAAAGAGTGTGAGTAGAAAAAACAGAACAAGAAAAGATGTTGTGGTGTTTGAAGATTTGGGTGTTGAGTATTTAGAGGAATTGTTGATTTCGTCACAAAGTATCACAAATTGGTGATTTCTTCCCCTGTTTTTCAGCTTGCTCCGTTTATATAATGTTGAATTAGAACTTCATTTGTTTGATTGTTTTTTCATGGGTTAGGGTTGAATTATTAATTGGGTCAAATTTTTTAGTGAGTATCCTAGTTGGTAGGCCTATGTGGCGAAATTAGTGTCATGTGGCTTTCTAAATCACTTATGTTAAGTTTTAAGGGTAACTGTGGTTTCTTAAGATAACGGTAGGGGCATTTTTTATCCTAAAATGTAACGGAGGGTATAAGTGGTCTATATCTCATAGTTTAGGGGCAATTTTGACCCTTTTTCGTATTAGTTATCACATATAATATAAAAAGACAATCCTTAAAAGTATCGATAGCTTTTTCATAAGCGAAAAAATTGAAAAAAGAGAACATCTCTTCTTATATTTTGGATACAAAATCTCAATTTAACACTATGAATTAATATAATCTTATTTCGATTACATGTTAAATTCTATATGATGACAAAATTAAAATACACAATAGAAGATAATTTACAAAAAGAGTGATTGAGATAATATGAAAATATTTTCACTGAGAATTCGTTTAAAAACTAATGCAACAAAATTAAATAATACAAAAAATTGCTATCAATAATTTAGACAATAAAGAATTGCAAAAAATATAATGTTATTTGACCAATAAACACTTCGCATAAATCATATTTATTTTTTGTTGTTATCTTTAAATGCGTAAAATTATATAATGATTCAATTTTGAAGTAATATAACCGCGCACTGTAAAACTATTTAATGATTCAATTTTTAAGTAAAATGACTGTTCATCGTAAAACTATTTAATAATTTAAGTTTTGAGTAAAATGACCACGCATCGCGCGGGTACGTATACTAGTATTTTTAATATATACAATATTCTTGGGCGAATTAATATTTATGAAGAACTCTTCTTATCACAATTTTTTGGCTGTTAAAACATCTTTGGAAGAAGTTATCATTGTTCATTGTGAAAAAATTGTTTAAGAAGACAAACAAATCATTTTTTGGGTGGGGGAGGGGTGGTTTATAGTCTTATTCTTGAAACGATTTTTTTGGAAGAAGTTATTTTAGTTTTGGATTATAACTTTTGTTGATATAATGTTTAATTCCTAATTTAAAAAAAGATAAATTATGCACATTCAAATATTGAAAACAAACAATATTAATGATTCAATGTTCAGACCTAGAAACTACATCTTAATATTCAGATGTGCATTCAGATTCAAACGTCTTAATCTCAATGAAAACAAATGAGGCCTTAGAGTTGATATGTCTCTCGTTACAAAAGTGGCTCACATATGCCCAATCGTTACAAAATAGGCTCACACATGTAACACCTCAGATCCGAAAGAGGGTATTATGGCTGACTTCAGAAAACTGCAGGTGGCAACCACGAGGACCACCCACGACCTGTGGATGGGACCACAAATCGTAGGTGTGGTCCGTGGGTGGCCCTGCAGGAGAAGAGCATAAAGCTCAGGACCACAGCCTGACCAACAGACCGTTGGCCCGACCACGGCCTGACCATCAGACCGTTGGCCCGACCACGACCTGACCAACAGACTGTTGGTCCGACCACGGTCCGTGGTTCGAGGCCCAAGAACCCTTGACCTCCATCGATGGTCCACCAGGATAGACGGTAGGTCAGACCACGGTCTATCGACTAGAGTCCGTAGGTGGGAGGTCGGCAATTAAGTCTAGGGGAAGTTGAGTCTTTTCCTAATTAATTAACTTCTATACTACGTCGTTTTACCCTTCATTAAGACCCCTATATAAGTATTTTAACCCCAAATTCAAGCCATTCAGGCATTCTTCCTAATTCACAAAAGAAGATCAATTCTCATCTCCAAAATATTTCTCTCTCTAGAAACTTGAAGAAGAAGAAGAAGGGTTCAAGCTAGGATCAAGGTCAAGCTTCAATTCTTCAATTGAAGATAAGCATTTGGCTTTGAGGTATGATATTTTTCATCCATGGATTCCTTCCATTCATGGAGTTCCCAAATTCCTCTATTTTCAAAGTTAGAAATCCCCAATTGAGTTAGGGTTTTCTTCAATTATCACGAGTTCTCTTGATTATTGATTTAAATGATTGAATTATGATCTCTTATGAATGAATTGATGAAATACTATGATTTTATATGATTTCCCCATGAACCCATATTTTCAAGTTATGAATAATATGGATTGACAAGATGATGTGCCTTTCCATGGATAATAAGAACAAGAAGAAATGACTATTCTGTGGGATTTATGCTTAGCACCGAAAGGATATTGAGATGGAAGCTCTCCCGCTAGTAGATGCCAGGTTTCTAGAAACAACCTTCTTATCCCTTACCTATGCACCCATATAGGATGATTTTCTAGATAAACATTAGCTAGTGGATCCACTTTAGCTCAGATTTATCGTCCTTACCTTGGCAAGTAGGACACCCCTTTTCAGTGTGGGAGACACTAGGGGATCATGTTATAACTCACATGGTCTCTATGTCGGTTAAGGCTAATTCCCCACATTAATAATGAACTAAGGTTACTTCAAGAAGTATCTCATATGTGTTCAAAGACTTTAAATGATGTTAGCTTGCATTGACCATGGTTTCATGACTTATGTTTTCCAACCCTTTTTTATATCATGTTTTAGCTTGGTCAATTGCATGTCATGAAATGATGTCCCTTTTAGCATGTTTTAAATATTTTATGCATAGTTGTCATACTTGTTACATTGTTTTTTACTAATGCATACTCTTGCCTACATTTCTCCAAATGTAGGGTCCGACAGTCAGATTTCTCAGTTTCGTGACTAGTGGTTGATTTCGAGATTTCCGAGCTTTGGTGAGTCCTCATGCTTCGAGGACGAATGTTCATTGTTTCACCTTCTTTCATATATTTCACTTTTGGACATGATGTATGGGCTAGACCCAATTTCATTCTATTTTACTAGATGACTATAGTGAGACAAGTGTTTTAGACTTCCGCTTTTCTTTTATAAAACTATTGGACTTGGACTATTGTTTTACTCTTATTGTTTAATTTCTTATGTGTTAAAAGTTAAGTGGCTTGTATGGAGTCCTTAAAGTGACAAAATTAATTTTAAATTATTTTTTATTTTTAATATTTAATTTTTTTTATGTATTTGATATTTTTCACGCATAAATTATTTTTTGACTTCTTTGATTATTATTATTAGAATTTCTTATTCTTATTTCATTTTTTCTTTCATTCGTCAGTGTAAAATAAGAGAAATAAGAAAGAAGTATTAATGGAAAAAAAGAGAAAAAAAAATTAAAACTATTTTTTTCTGCTATATTGTAATTTAGTTTTTATATCTGTAATTTTTTTTAGGACATCTATAATAAAATTTATAAGAAAATAAGTGAAGAAGATAATTTTGACCATCAAAATAATAAATTCAATTAGCCGTTGAATTTAAAAAGTAAAAAAAAATGTGTGAGAAGAATAAAATATACCCCTACTTGAATTAATTTTTAATAAAAAAAATATTCTTCACTTTCATTAGAGGAAAATGGTATATGTGAGTCATTTGTGTAACAATAGAGATGTTTATGAGCCACTTTAAAAATAGGGTAAAAAACTTAAATATACAATTTAAGCACCTAAATAACCTCTATATAACAATAGTTTGACTTTACACCAACATAGCAATAGAATCTTTACAAAGTAAAACAAAATAAAAATAAATTAAAAAAAGGGTAAAAGAAAAATAAGCAACGCATCATTCAATATTAAATAAGATATTTTTTTCCTTAATTTACTCTAATTCAGTTACCTTTCACAAATATTCATTACTTAATATTTCTCTCTCATATCTCTAAACAACGTATTGTAACAAAAAACAAAGTCTTTATCTCCTGTTTAAGGTCATTTCAATGGTTGAAAGCAAGAACGTGTCCGTTTTAATTCAGCACGACAAATATGAGATATCACCGGTATGTATCATTTTTTTAAAATTACTTCCAATTTATTTTTGTAAGATTATATAGTTTGATTTTTCAAAAAAAAACAACAAATGTTTCAGTGGCTGAAAAATCCCTTTTTAAGGATTTTTTGTTGTGGTTAATCATGAAAATTTTATTATTTGTAAATTGATTTTGATGAATCATTCATGGCACTGTTATTTGTATAATTGTTAAAACAAACATTTTGTATGGTTTGTAGATTATGGTATTATGAATGGTAGGATTGCAAATATAATCAAAATCAAAATTAACACCTAATATAACTCGAATTCTATAAATTTACCACTGTTTAATGACAATATTAATATGCAAATCAATGTTAAATAGTAATGTACTCACTTTTTAATTAATTTGGTTATCCAAAATAATTTGATAAAATTCTTGGTACGATCATGGTGTAATATTGGTTGAAAATATGTATTATTTATCATATTAAATTATACACCATAATGTACACCATTCAAATACACTATAATTAATGTGTAAATTTTTAAAAATAGATATTATATGATGGTATTATGTATTTAGTTGATTGTTTGATTAAATTTATTATATAAATAAATTAGTTACTTTTGGTTAGTTTGTGGTGTAAATGTTTGGTGTATATCATACATTATATATTAGATTAAAAATGTACACCAATTGTCACCATAATGTACACCTTAATCATATAATCATGGTGTTATGCACCGTTGGATTGTAACATATAATCATGTTCAACTTTATCAATCTTCATAAATCAATGTTATATATATAATTGGTTATAAGTTGGTGTTTGAATTTCATTATAAGAATGATGAAGTGGATACCAATTTTTAATCATATTATACACCATTTTGTATATATTTTTTTTTGGTGATGTAAAAAAAATATGATTGTGTATTTCAAATTTGATTGTTATAACGGTTGTTTAGTAGGTTCTTTAATTTATTTTTTGAAATGTATTGCAGGAAGGTATGTGGATTTCAAGATTGAAGGAGTGATATGTGACGCAAATACCATTTTAAAAAA